TTTGAACCACTTCGACAAATGGGTTTGAACCACTTCGACAAATGGGTTTGAACCACTTCGACAAATGGGTTTGAACCACTTCGACAAATGGGTGCACCCACTTCGGCAAACGGGTCAGTAAAGAGAGTCTACAGTCTGAATTAGGATAATGTTTTATTGAGGATTATTCGATTATCCGGATATTTATCCGGATTCTGCCCACCTCTACTTACGAACTTGTTGACCGTTCTCAGCCACCCAGTAATCCCTTCCACTTTCACCTACACACAAAGAGGTTACGACATTTCATCGTCGACGCTTCAAAGTGCCAAGTGACTATTCGCGCTATTCGAGTACCGTGTACGAATGTCTTATTTTATGATTTTACCGGTAGTTAGAGGCATGTTTTATATTAAATTGTTGTCACCTTTACTTATCACACTGCGTGTGGTAATCATCGGGAATAAAGTAAGTCTCAATGATTTTGGATAAAACATGCTTTAATTCTACGACGAGTTGAGAAAAATGGGACAAAAATAAATTCATGATTCCTTCCTCAAAAATATTTTGTCGAGCTCTACTTATCAAACAGTGTGGAAATCATTAAGAATAAAGTATGTCTCAATGATTTTAGATAAAATGTGCTGTAATCTAATTCCACGACGAGTTGAGAAAAATAAGACAAAAATCCATTATTCCTTCCTTAAAAAATATCTTGTCGGCTCAACTGATCACACTGTGTGTGATAATCATAAAGAATTAAGGAAGTCTCAATGATTTCAGATAAAACATGTTTTAATTCTACGAAGAGTTGAGAAAAATGGGACAAAAATTCATGATTTCTTCCTCAATATTATCGTGTCGGCTCTACTTATCACACTGTGTGTGGTAATCATAAAGAATTAAGGAAGTCTCAATGATTTTAGATAAAATATGCGCTTTAATTCTAGGACGAGTTGAGTAAAATCAGACAAAAATTTATCAATCCTCCCTAAAAAATCACAAAGCATTAGAACTTCTCTGCAGGCTTCGAATAGCTTTGAATATCGGAAAATCGTGGATGTTGAATAGTGAAGTCGAACGGCTACAGCTCTCCTACATACACTCAGAATGTGGTAATGAAACACTCGAGCCAGATTAACTCCTTCCGAGCCAGTCAGGGATATATA